CAGAATGCAGCAGCAAGTAAGAAAGACAGGAACAAAAGAACTATTAATAGAATCATGCCAAGCTGTATGAAGAACGCTAGAACTGTTATGACGAGGCAAATGGTCCGCGACAGCCGCGTGCGGCGGATCGATTCCACGAGACTGTTCCTACTGCCCGTCTCCAACAGTCAATGGAAACGAGGATTAGACATAAGAGTCCAGCTATTGTAGTTTCATAGTTATTCTATTGAGATTGCCACAAAAATATGAGAAGCGGATGCGATTGAGAAAATTTTCACGAATTTATCGAATAATTGGTTCTGAAAGACGCTGTATTCCAGAATATTCCATAAACGAATTACAATTAATTTCGGCATGTCTCCAGCAAATTCGTCGCTAGTTGACTTAGCCCCCGAGAGTGTTAAGAACGTTTTATACACAGCTTACGTTCCGGCGGAACCGCCTTCTGTGGTTCGAAACAATTTGCTACTATCTATGAGTGAACGTACCATTGCAACAGCTTCACTGCTTAAGATCTGCGTAGGACTGAGGACGACAAAGTAAGCAAAATTGACGGCGACGTAAATTAAGGCGATACACACCATACCGATCACAATAGCCAACGGCATGGTTCTGCAATTTTTCAAAATAAGCTTCAACCACGGGATTAATTAGCCATTTTTGATTATGCGAAGATAGTAAAGGAGTAAGGCAGAAGAAATTTCCGTCGAACCAAGTCTTGTAAGAAAGAAAATGTTCCATCACACAAGGATGGTGAGTTAAGAGAACGTCCGTTGCGCGCGTCCATCGAAAGTATGTCACAACGCCCACTTCGCGCGCGACGCAAACCGCTGAGGTCTCAAGGTGACATTACAGTACCACCAAGTGCCATTGGAGCGAATGGTTTGTATTTGTCTATGTTATTTTTTTTNTTTTTTTTTTGACTGACTGTCGTGGACCAAGCGCAAATCGTACGCCTCAGTAACAGCTGCGACGTCCATCAAGTATCGCGGGCTGACCCGCCGCATGCGACAGCTACGACGTGACATAGTTTCGACGAGCGCGCGCAATAAAGCGCAGCCGGTGAGTTATGAGGAAAACTTCGGTCTCGGACGGGACTCGAACCCGAATCGGTGCTATCCGGACATAGTGCTGCCTATTACAGTTCAACCGACACCCTTTGGGCATGTACGTGAAAAGGTAATAGAGGTGATCTAGAGTCGAAGGCCTGAATGGACTATCAACATTATATGCTCTCAGATGATAGGGAAATAAGGGGCCGTGCAGCCCATAGATCGAGTTTCGACTAATTGTAAGTTACACTCAGACTAAGAGGACCCCGAGTCTGAGTAAATTATTTGTTGACAGTTGGGTCTGAGAGGTTGAAGGGACCGATCGGTATGAAGAGTCACCCTTTCAGGCCGAGGGAATAGTCTTTAAAGGACCACTGCGATTCTGAATCGGCAGCAACTCATCAGCTCATAGTGCATCTCTATAAGGGTTGACCAGCTTCGAGGCTTTCTTTTTTTCCACAGTAAGTGCTGGGTATGTACTGCACTAACTGTACATCATTATCATAAGATTCTCATAAGATTTAAAAATTGCTTTTCTCAAAAACACTATAATCCCTTATCACCGTCCACAGGCAATTACCGTTTTGGTTTCTCGATTTCCTCAGCTCCAAAGTTAAGAATGTCCCAGCCATCGTAGGCGAATAGGCAGGCGAACAGTGCTGATACAATGGTACCGATATTCCAGTCAGTTCCCACAAATGGACTTTGTATGTTTTTCGTCTCTCCTGAATCATTATTTAGTTTCTTTGAAAAGACTTTTTGAAAAGACTTTAATGTTTGAATCAGTCAAGAAAAGTCGTAGTAGGGCCTAATACATTACCACTACCATATCTTTCGTAGTGAAAACGGTTCGGCATTTCCTCTTCCCCCCCCCCCCTTCTCCATATCGTTCAGTGTGCATTTTGTCTGTCTGTTTCCTCCAAAACAAGGACCAACCGCTTTAAGGACCAATTAATATTAACTCATATGAAAATACGAACAACCTTCGAAAGCCTTTCTTACCTTTGAATATGAGCAGATAGAAGCCGGTTCCGATGACTAAACCAGTAGCTGCGAACTTTGCAATGGAGGCGGCGATTTGAAATCGCGAAACGAACGTTTTCAACGAGAAAAAATTCAAAAACAGCAACAACCCTTAATGATACTGAATTTTGTTGTGTTCTCATGTATTTACAGTAATCATTTGGATTATTTTCCCTACTGGTAAATTCCCAGACGAATTATCAACTTAACTCAGCTCCAAGGTCAAATCAATCAACCTTTTGAATCGATTGGGAAAAAGGTGTCACACGATGGCTATTTGCTTTCGTTTCACTAATCTCTTTTCTACTTTTTGCAGAAAAAAAAGTTCTCCCGCTCGAAGTCAGCGCTCAATAGAAGCTTCTTAGTTCAGTCTCTCCTTTTTTTCACGGATAAAAACCTCATAAAATCAATCATTAAGGTCAGAAGTATAAAAGTTCGGTTTTACCTACATATCAAGGCAAAGCCGACTAACTTCTTTGCCCAAAAAGCTGATGTGTCGTCAAGTTCGATGCCGATTCCCTGAAAATGTTGTAATGACGGTTCGTTAACGTTCGAGTGAATGAAGTACTATCGCCTTATCAGGGCCATAAAAGTAGTCATGGAATTTCCGCAATGACCTCATAAGCGGCCGTTTCTGAAGGGGAATGGTTTTCGGCCTATCAAAGCAAGCGTCCGCTCGAGAACAGGAGGATTCCCTCTAACAATTAGAAAATCGAAGTAATGCACCCTTAAGTTGTGTCACTACAGATGGCCTTAGTCAATCACTAACCCTGTTTCAGGGGCAGACGAAGGGTTACCTTTGAGATTATCAACCCAACGAGTCAAAGACTCTTGTATCTGAGAAATCCACAGAGAGAAGCCCTTCCCCATGATTCGGTCAACGCTAAGGTTGCAGTTCATGAATCAAGAATTGACGATAACCCCAATCTCAGAATTATGTCCTTGCTATAGTCAATCTCAAAGGTATTTCCGCCATCTTCTTTTCGAGACCAGCCCTTTCCACCAGCCAGTTCTAGTGGGAAGGATTTACTGAAAGAGTACTTGTACCCAAGAGGAGGGCTTGGTCTTATATTCCATTATTTGAGTTCCTTGAACTGATAGTCTCTGGGTTTCGATATCAGAGACGACTTTTTTAGAGTCTCTGTTTTTTTTT